GAAAAAAAAAAAAAAAAAAATATTGGTCTCAACATTAGCTTGATATAACTGTTAAATCAATGTTGCATAGATTCTTTTCTCTCTTTTTGAATCGAAAAAGGGTAAATGCTAAACCTTTTATATTTTTATATCAAGCTGTTTATGTACATCTAAAGTTCTATATTTATGTTTTTGTTTGTTTTTTTAATCTATATATATATATAATTGCTGGCATGTAGCATTTAATAAAATATTTAATAAAACCTCTAAAATTTTCTCTTTATTTTTGGTTACAAAATTTATCACTAATATTTTTTTACTTCTCACATTAATACACCCTACTGATTGTAATCATGTATGTTTCTATTATATTATATAATAGTTATTGTTAATACCAACTAATAATAATTCACAATAAATATAAATTACATAATTATAAACAATTGTTTCAAGTTATTTATTTTAACATCAATATTATCTTTTTCTTTTGTATCTCATGAAAAAAAATTAAAAACAATTAGTAAATTGTCTTAATAGCTTAGCATTTAATTTTACATATTTAATAAAACCTCTAAAATTTTTTCCCTATTTTAGGTTACAAAATTTATCATTAATATTCTTTTACTTCTCACATTAATACATCCTATTAACTGTAATCATGTATTTTCTATTATATTATATAATAGTTATTGCTAATACCAACTAATAATAATTCACAATAAATATAAATTACATAATTATAAACAATTGTTTCAAGTTATTTATATTAACATCAATATTATCTTTTTCTTTTGTATCTCATGAAAATATTTCTTTAAAAACAATTCGTAAATTGCTTTAATAGCATAGTCAAACAACTTTAGAAGCTTATAAGCAATTGTTTTTTTAATAATAATAATAATCAATCTGTTATTATCTAATGATAATAAACAATTGTTCATAATAATAAAATCGTTAGTTTATTTTTCCTAATGATCAAATTTTTGAAAATGTAATATGTTCATTATCTAGAATTTTAATATTAAATTCTCAAATATTACTTATAATATTTTATGTACAACTATGCATGTGCACAAGATATCTACTAGTATATATAATTACTAGCTGATACATTTCATAAAACATTTAATAAAATCTATTTTCATTTCCCTCCAAAAGGAGTTACATTTTTTTTTAATTAATTACTCACTAATCTGCTAAAACCGTTACACCTTAATATATATATTTTTATTATTTATTTTTTGGATCAGTTACTAAATTAATTCTAAATTTGATAGCAGAATATTCAAATGTGTAACGGCTAATGTTTGGAACTTAAAGTTGATTGGCACATTCAGAGCTGTAACTGCTATATTTGGTTGCATTGTTGGAAGAAAAATATGATTGACACATTTTTATTTTTTTTCTAAAAATTAGAAGCACCAATAATTTTTTTTATTTATGTTAATTTTTTAATATATGTCACAAATATATAAATTATTTTAAATGTTGCATGGTTAAAATAAAATTTAAATCGCAGTCAATTTTGAATAATAAAAATAATTTATGAAAAAGTAATAATTTTTATATGATAGAAGTACATATCTAATTAATAAATACAAACAAAAAATGTGTTTTATATCTGTGCAAATGCACATGATCAAGTACTAGTTTGTCTTAATATCAATTAAGTTGGTTTTTTATGAAATAATAAAAAATTTAATTGATATATAATTAAATGGGTAAAATAATAGGTCAAATCATTTGAGCCGAGTACCGGTGGTTTGCTTAGAGCTGTTAAATTAAATGAGATGCTCATGAGCTTGGTTCGGCTCGACTCGGTAAGGCTCGAGCTCGACTCTATTTGTTTGATAAAATGAGTTGATTTCGAGTTCAACTCCTTCAGTTAACGAGACTTGATAAGGCTCGAAAAGATGCTTTTTTATGTGTTTGTCTATAGTTTACTTCGATTTTAATTCGTTAAGGCACGAATTCGACTCGTTAATATTGATAAACGAGCCGAGTTCAAGCTCGATTATAAGCCCGTTAAGGGCTCGAGCTCAGCTCGACACCAGTTTGCTTGATATGAATTTTGCTGCTTTAACTTTTTTATTTTGGTGTTAATTTCAAATAAATTTAATGTTTTGGAGCTTTAGGTAAATTTCTCTTACTCTACTGCTCATTGTTTCCCTTTGCCTATCAAATTCCCAAATAAAATTATTTGAAATTTCTCGAGTCCCTCCTTGTTATAAATTAAATTTTACGGGAAAGGATATCAGTTATTCTCGCTACTGTTAATGAGGAAATTTTTATCTTATCTTATCTCATCTTTTATATATACTAGTAAAGTGCACGTGCATCACACGTGGTGATAAATGTTTTTTGCTGATTAAATTTATTCGGGGGTGTAGACCGACCTGAGACCGATTCTTTCTCATTGTCATTAGAGTATTTGTTTA